CCTCAAAACAAAACAAAAAAACCCCACCAAATCAACTTATATGTAACATTAGTTCTATTAAAGATTTGCACTGGGGGCTGGGGTTGTGGTTCAGTGGTAAAGCACTTGTCTAGCATGTGTGAGGCCCTGAGTTCGATCCTCAGCACCACATAAAAAAAAAAAAAAAAAGTATTGTGTCCATCTACAAATTAAAAAAAAATTAAAAAAAAAGAAAAAAAGATTTGCATTAAGGTGTGTCCCTTAGCTAGTCATTCTAACACAAGTCAAGGTTATTGACCTTTTGATTTGAAAACTTATTTCAAGAATTACATTTTATTTATTTTTTTTTAGAATTTTTTTTAATATTTATTTTTTAGTTTTCGGCGGACATAACATCTTTGTTTGTATGTGGTGCTGAGAATCGAACCCGGGCCGCACGCATGCCAGGCGGGCACGCTACCGCTTGAGCCACATCCCCAGCCCAAGAATTACATTTTAAAACAACATTAGGGCTGGGGATATAGATCAGTTGGTAGAGTACTTCAGACTTGCATGCACAAGGCCCTGGGTTTGATCCCCAGCACCACAAAAAATAAATAATAAATAAAATTTTTTAAAAACTTAGAATTTTTAGGTACACTCCACAGAATGGTAAAAATTTTGAATATAGACTATAAGAATTGTCTATTTACCAATTAAGGACACACACACACACATATATATATATATATATATATATATATATATATATATATATATAATATCTTAAATATATTTTGCAAACCAAGTCGCATTACCAACAGCATAATTAAGAAAACTTTAAAAGTCAGACTTATGTCATATTAAATCTTTAATTTAGAAATTTTCATAAGATGGAAGATAAATAAATCAATATTGCCACTTGCTAACTACAGGGACATGGCTCATGACATCTAAATGATTACTAAAAATATGCAAGATATTACTACTATATAGAGAGCTTAATAACAATTTAGTAACCTTTGTAGCATGCTAAGACATCAAGCATTATATCAGAACTATCAAAGTTCTAGAACTTTTTAGTTTGTTTTAATAAAACATTTGAGTCAGGCAGGGTGGTACATGCCTGTAATCTTAACTTCTCTGGAGGCTGAGGAAAAAGGATTCCAAGTTCAGGGTAAGGCCTAGGTTACTTAGTCTGACCCTATATCAAAATTTAAAGACACTATAAAGGACTAGGGATGTAGCTCAGTGGTACAGTGCCCCTGGGTTCAATCCCCAGTGCCACAAAACAAGCAAACAAAACCTATGTCATTATAAAAGTAGTTCATTTAGCTAGCCTTATAAATCAAAAAGAGCCTTTAGAACAATTAAAGGTATAAATAAATCCTAACACTCTTAAGACTTAATTTTCTGAAGCAATTAAAACCTAAACACAGCAAAAATCATAAAATGTTTGTTCATTAGGCCAGTACATTGTAAACTTTGTGAAGAGCAGATCAATAGTATAATGGATTCTTTATGTTATTCTACAACTTAAACATGATTAAAGAAAACCAGAAAGGCAAAATACATACATATATCTGTATGCATATATATGGATATACATGTTTGTGTGTGTGTGTGTATGTACAATTTTTTACCTTAATAAATATCTAGTCTACTTCCTCAATTTGGTTCTCCCAGAAATTTCCTTCCAAAATATGTTAATTCATAATAAAATAACTGTGAAGAACAGACCGTGTGAGAAAGGTTCTGTTGCTAGAAGCTTAGTCCCTGTCCCTGATGCCAATCTAATAAGGAGAAAAAGGAAAAAAAGGTTTATTGCTTTGCTAGCAAAGGAGAAAGACAGGGGTCTCCTGTACCAAAGGCTGTGATTCTGCCCATCAGCAGAAACAGGGGACTTTTAAAGAGGTGATTCAAAGGCTACATTCCATGTGTTCTCTGTCTGGAGTTGTAATTCACTTTTAATTTGGGAGACAGTCATTTCTGAGATCTTCTGATGCCATCCCCAAAGTCTGGATTATTTCATTCCCACAGTGGGTTTGTACTCAGGGACAGGAAGAAAGGTAATCCTGTTTCCCCTGAGATTAGAGAGGGGGATAAATTAGGGAGGAGCAGGGAAAGAGGAAGAGAAATAAACATGTCCATTTAAAAAATCACTTGCAGTGGCAGAGCATATAGTGAATCACTGTTGTAGTTCCAGGAAACATTTAACTGAAGCATACTAGACTATTGACATCAGGTATAGCACAAGGTCCATTTCACATAATATTGTCATGGGAGCAGTTCCCAGAGAGGGGGACCTCTATTTAGAACAAGTGGAGTCCTTGTGGTACGTAATGAATAAGAATTTTGGCATGCATCAGAGATGCTAACATTTATTTAGGAAAGAAGATACAGGCCAGGAGTGGTGGTGCACGCCTGTAATCCCAGTGGCTTGGGAGGCTGAGGCAGGAGGATCATGAGTTCAAAGCCAGCCTCAGCAAAAGTGAGGTGCTAAGCAATTCAGTGAGACCCTGTCTCTAAATAAAATACAAAA